AGCAAATTTAAATCATAGTTGGTAAGCAATGGAGCAGGGAAGAAAAATGAGAGCATCTAGAAAGCAATGATGAGATATAAAGAAACAAGGCGATGGTCAGACCTGGATAGGGACCTTAGCTCTAAACTGAGACTTTGGGAACAACTTCCTTAATAGCACATGCATACTTCATGGCCATGTCTAACCCAGGCTTCTTCCTCTGTATCCTGGGCTTAGAGGAGACATTAGGGCTGTGTTACCACTCCTGGCATCTGGAATACAGAATTCTAATCAGAAAGAAAAAGATGAAGGAACACCTCTGCTTGGAGAGAAAGAAAATCATGTCTGTGTGATGCCCTCTGTGTTCTTCAGGTCCACTAACAGGTGGCAGATCTGGGCTCCTGGCCTCGCGGAACACAGCCTATTTCTATTACCAACCTTGACCCAATATATTGCAACTGAAAACTGAAATAGTCACTTCTCTTCTTCTTTGACTGAAGCTGTTATCAAATCACCTGTTCACACTGGCTGATCGTCTTTTCTGCTCCACACCTTACACCTCTTCTTTAATCTTCACTACTACTCTCAGGTGTGTGCCACTAATATTGCCCTGAGTACAGAGATGGAAACGGAATCTTAGAGAACTTAAATCCTGAGGTCACGTGAGTAACAGGTGACAAAACTCACTTGACTACAGGGAATTGTGTATAATGGGGTTGACTCTGGTTTTTCATCTATTCCCCATATCCTCTGGATTCTAATTTATTTTCCTATGATGACACAAAATATCACTCCTCTTTCCCTTGTCTATATTCTCCATTTCCTAGTGGATTTTCCTGGTGCTGTACAAATATTTGGGAGAAATCTGAGTGACTCTAACTGTATCAGAAGTATAATCACTTAAAAAATGAAATTATATATGAAATTAATTAATCAAAATGGAATATGTTGTTATAAATTCTAATCACAAAAACATAGGCAAGCCAACTGAGTGTATTCGACAAAAGAATTGACAGATAAAGCAATGATTCTTTAGCCAAAATCTTCAGTTCCCATACCCAGCCTCATACCTCAGGGAAAACTGAGATATGATTTAGAAGGGAGTTTTACCAAGGTTTATGAGACCCATGTATCAAGGAAGCAAAATCATTGCTTCTATTCATCTTTCCTCAAGGAACCACACATTCCAGGAAGTAACTTTGACACTTACAAGCTCCTTTTATTCTTTTCTTTTTCTTCCGTTCTTCATTTTCTTTCTTCCTCCACCTTTTCTAGCTTCTGCTCTCTCTCTTTCTTATTAACAGATGGGAGAAAATTTGCTGACATTTTAATAACAAGGGGTCCTAACCCATAAGAAGTGTCTTTCACACAAACCTTTTCACTTATCTTGGCAGGTTCTTTATTAGGGATAAGATTTTACCTCTACTTTGATGGAAGTCGGCTCTTACTTACCTATCATCCACACCAGGTGGCAGCTAGCTTCCCAGGTCACCAAACCTCCCATGTCCCATAGGAATCTCTTCTTTGATTCTTCTTCTCTTATTAATTTCTCTAATGTTACTGCCATTCTTTCTTCCCCAGCCAATTTCTACCAAAATCATTATAGGTGTCTTCCATTTGCTTGGCGAAGAGTGTCTTATAAACAATTTCACTCTTTCTTTATTTTGACAAAATAAATACAGTGGTGTCAATAAAAGGTAACAATCTTAAACATACAGTTCAATGACTTCTAATCATTTTTGAACTATGTGTAAGTAGACGTGTGAATTGCTCTATAGTAACAAAGTTTACTCAGTATAATATCTGTGAAATGTGCATCAGAGGTGCATTTTTAAAAACCTGCTTTGTAGCATACCATTGTATGAAAACAAAAAATTTATTTCCTTTTGTTGATGGATTGTTGGATTTTTTTCAGTTTGGGTCTTTTTGTTTTAAGTGGACACAATATCTTTATTTTATTTTTATATGGTTCCTCATGCATGCTAGGCGAGCCCTCTACCACTGAGCCACAATCCCAGCCCTTGGGGCTTCTTTTTTTTTTTTTTTTTCAGATTATTGGTCTATTTTTTTTATTAGAACTGAAAATACTAATTAAAATAACTCCCAGAGATTAGGGTGTATTAGGTCATAGAGTAAATAGCCATCCTTGGGCTCTCAATTTTTAGCTTCTGATCCATGCACATGAAGTGTTTTCTATAAAGGATATTGAATTTTCTGTATGTTGTCATACTAAATAATGTTGTACTTTAGTGGTACCAGTGTGGAAAGAAATAGACCTTTCAGAGTCTATTTCAGAAACTACTTACAACCTCTGGAATGGTCAATTTGAATTGTCAGCTTGATTGGATTAAGAGATGAAGAAGATTAAAAGGTTTTTGGATGAGTCAATGTGGGTGGATCTAGGAATGAATAATATGTGGGATAGTGAACTGAAGTGGAGGCCCTCCCTAAGTGTGGGCAGCACCCTCCAATAGCTTGGAGGCCTGGATGGAATAAATGTTGGAAGAACAAAGAAAAGCAGCAGTGATGTAAGCTCTATTCTACTTGACTGGGTTCTTGATTGCTGCTGCGACCACCTGAGGATATCAGACTCTCACTCCTTCACTCTTCCAAGGTGGACGCCACCAGTGATTCTCCAGGGAGTTTCCAGAAGCCTTGAATCTTGGATTGGGGTAGCATTGTTGATCCTTCTTTTTCTTAGGCTTCAGCATCTTGGACTGCACAGCTACTGATTCTTCCAGCTCTTCAGCCTACCGACGGCCATTGTGGACTATCCAGCTTCTGGTTGCATAAGCCAACCTAGTAAATCTCCTTTTTATAATCATGCCTCCTGTTGGTTCTGTTCCTCTAGAGAACCCTGACTAATACAACCTCTAATCAAAGAAGACAAATGAAAATTAATAGGGAGGCCAGCTGGTACCAGTGCAATTAGCACAGATTTGGTAGCTATACAGATTAGCCAAAATCTGTGCTCAGGAGTTTTCTAGTCATATAAATTTTGTGACTTCCAATTTCTATGTCTTTTAAATGAAGATACTTAAACTACTTTGCAGTGTTTTTAGAAGGATAAAATAAAACCCAAGCCATATAAAGGGTTAAACAATTACACATTCAAGATAGTGGAATAGTGAATCGGACTTTTATGAATATAGCTGATCTGAATATTTTCGCACAAATCTTTTGGGAGACACATATACATTCATTTCTCTTGTATAAAAATCTAAAAGTAGAGTTAATAAAGTTACAGTCATATATTTAGCAATACAATTTTTCCAAATATTTATAACCTGTCACATTTCCATCTACTATGAGAGTTCTAGTTGTTCCTCAACTTTACCATCCCTTGATATATTTGGTCTTTTAAATTTTAGATATTCTTCTATTATATCATGTGTTGTTGTATCATTGAATGACATCAGAATAAGTTCTCTAATATGGTTGGGTAGGTTTTTCCAACTTTGTTCCTTTCTAGGATTGTCTTGGCTATTCTAGGCCATGATACATCATTGAAGCTCTATTTTGTATTTTCTTATATGATACTGAACAGGCTCTTGGTTTTTAGAGTCTATTTGGAAATCCTCTTTTGAAAGGTGTCTATTCAAGTCTTTTGCCCATTTGTATTGTGTTTTCATTCATGTTTAATTGATTTGTAGTAAGTTTTAATATATTCCAAATATAAGTTGTTGTTCATATATAGATAAGTAGAGAAGTGTATGTGTGTGTGTGTGTGTGTGTGTGTGTGTGTGTTTGTGTGTGTATCATCCCCAGAGATCTTTTAAGGAAAAGAAGTTTTAACTTCAATGAAGTCAATTTTATCTTTTTGTCTTTTTTTCTTTGTTTTTAAGAAGTATTTGTCTATTTGAAGTTTGAGAAAGAATTTCTCCTATATTTTCTTTCAGATGATTTATTATTTCCAACTTATATTGAAGGAAAAGAGCTATTTATGATTTTATAAAAATGCAACTATGTTATGTGAAATTTCAAAAAGTCTGATGGTGTTACATAAGACATTTTTGTTTGGTTTTCTTAGGAGAGAGGAGTTATCTAGATGATTCTCATTTTTTTCCTTTACTTTTTTATGTCCAAATTTGAAGGCAATGATACTATTAGTTCCATCACTTAACTAAAAAAACCACTCATGATACTTTTCTTCCAGGTTTGGCCACGTGGAAAACAGTCATATAGTCATTTATGCTATATGACTCCACAAAACAGGTTGAATAAAGTTGTAATAGAGCAGCCTCTCATCTTGCAGGGGCGGGGGGGTGTGAATAGGGCTCCATCACTAGACTCCCCCAGTGTTGTTTGCTTTGACCATTCTTTCAACTAAATGGAAGCATGCATTCAGAGGATTAGCTGCTGCTCCCTCCATAGAAGAATGAAAAAAATTTAAAAATAGCTAATATCCCAAGACTTGTGAAAAAGCAACAACCACTTTCTTCTTCAGGAGGGAAATCCCTCCTTTCATCCAAAAATGTGGATTTACACATGTAAAAATGTGTATTTGTACAGAAACTTTGATGGTTTATTCAGATACAAAATCAATGACTTTATGCTTCTTCATCACATCAAAGGGTTAACTTCAAAAACCAGACCTTCGTTTCTATTCAATAAATCTATGTCACAAGATGAACCAGGATTTAGAGGTATTTGTAACTTTTTAACATCTCTTTCTTTTCAAATTACAACACATATTTGGAACTTACTGCTGCAGTCTCAAATGTGCTTATCATAATAGAAGCCCACAGTTTTTAAAAACCCTGAAGTCATCCATGCTTGCCATTTATTTAGTCTTCTTGTTTGGAAAAAAAAAAAAGGCAAAAAATTCACAAATACTATGAACTAAGCACCTGTTTCAAATTAAACATCAACCTTCAGTTTGCAAAATAATTCCTTCACAGTTAAACCACCACAGCAGAAGACCCATGTCAGGTTTTTTTCTTTCTTTCTTTCTTCCTGGAGAAGTGAGCAGAACAACTGCATCCTAAGGGCTTTTCTCTGTTGAATCTGAAAGGTGGAACATGGAGGTAATGTGTACAAAGACATCCACAGTTCAGGGAATGTGATTTGGTAAAAGAAGCAAGACGTAGAGATGCCTGCCACTTCCTGAGCTCAGAATTTTGTTTTGAGATAAATATAAGCACCTAAATGTCAGGGAAATGTTCTTCCTGTGTGCCAAGGATCTTCCCACAGTCCAGCGGACACACTTGGCCTCCCAGGCTGGCCCATTAGGGCCCCAGAAGCTGGACGGCCAAGGCAGGTCTCACTTTCCACCTTTGTCTATACCACATTCTACTATTTCCTTCTTAACATTTACATAAATGTGCCATCACAAATGACTCTGTGTGTGTGTGTGTGTGTGTGTGTGTGTGGTATAACACGTAAGGGGGAAACTCATTTTTTTCCTGCACTATTTATTTTGCTCCAGCACTGTTTACTGAGCAAAACATCCTTTCCCATAAGTTCAGTGGTTCTTTTTGTTCTGATGTGATCATGTTTGAGTCTTTCTGGGCTCTGTGTTGTTTTGATCCTCTTTTTGCCTGAATCAAATGTGCCTCAGTTTCCTAATTCCTTTGACTATGTAGTAAACCTTCATGTCTGGTGGCATTAAGTCCTCCATGTTTATTATTTTTGAATTATTACCTTGACTGTTCTGGGTCCTTTGTATTTCTGTAACAATTTTAGAATTGGGTCATCAATTACCACTCAAAATGTCTGATGAGATTTTTAAATGGGATAGTTAGTGTCTAATTCCCATACTTAATAAATCTTCCCATTTATCTGGGTCTCTACTGTCTCTCAGCAATAACACACAGTTCTTAATTTAAAGGGCTTGCACAACTTTGTTGAATTTATTAAAAGGGAATTGAATTTTTTTCCTTAATGGTATTACAAGTAGTACCTAATTAATTTTCAAATTATTTGTTATTATTTTATACAAATGTAGTTGAGATTTTTATATTTTTAAATTCTAATGGTCAGTAATCTTAATAAATTACTGACCATTAGAATTTGTTTGTACATTCTTTAGGATTTTTAAATGTCTATACCACCTTACCTACATATAGAGTTTTGCTTCTTGTTTTCCAATTGTTAGAACCTTTATCTCTTTTTCTTGTCTCATGGGTTAAGTTTTCTAGTACTGTATTGATGAATATTAGTGGTGACCTATGACAATCTTGTTTTGCTTGTGACCTCAGGGAGGCAAATTGATCAGCATTTCAACAGTAAACATGATGTTAGCTGAAGGATGTTTCCATTTAATCTTGTTTGCTGATATTTTTTAAGATCATATAATGGTGTTGATTTTTTTCTGTCTTTTTGTGTATCTAATGAGTGGATTTCTGATTTTCTTCCTGAATTATAACAAGACAAAACATACTGATTTTCAAATTATTGCAGTTTTGAGACAAATATCATTTGTAATGATATATTATCCTTTATATCACTGATTTAGTTAGATAATATAGGAATATTTTATCTAAAATCAGAGCCTGTAGTTTTTCTTTCTTGCAAAATGTTGATCAGATTTTGGTATCTTGGTATGCTCAGCTTATTAAAAAAAAAAAAAGTTAGGAGAGTTCCCAAACCCTCTACTTGCGAAGGAGTTTTTTTCAGAATGGTATTTCTTCTATGTTAAATATTTGAAAGGAATCACAGGCCTTCTGGGATTATAGATTACATTATGGGAAGGCTTATAATTACACATTAATTTTCTTCAATAACCTTAAAAATATCCAGGCTTATTTCTGAGTTTATCTATTTTAAATCTCTTTAGAATATCAATTGGCTTGTTGATTTTCTCTCTTGATGTCTACTTTCTATTTTATTCATTTATGCACTCATCTTCATAAATTCCTTCTTTATGCTTTTTTAGTTTAAGTTTCTATTCTTTCTGTAATATCTTGAATTGGAAACTTAACTTGTTGATTTTAAACTTTCTTTTCTAACATATGCATCTAAACTCATAAATGCCCCTCTAAGCATTTGCCTTATCTATATCCCACACATTTGGATTTCTTAATTTTAATTTTCATTCAGTTCAAAATATTTCCAAACATCTCCTGTAATTCCTTATTTGGAGATTTTTCTAGTTTAATTATGCGATCATACTTATATCTGAGAATATTATCAATTTAGATAAATATTTTATGTGTGCTTGAAATAGATTAAATTCTGAAGTTGTTGGCTGTAATGTTCTATATTTGTCTATCAGGTCAATTCAGCTAGTATAGTTACTCAAACTTTCTATATTCTCACTGGATATTTTTGTCCACTTAATAGTCAGTAAGAGATGTGTTAAAATTTCCAATGCTGGAAATAGATTTAAATGCTATCAATTTTGTCATAAAATTTTGAAACTATGTTTCAAAAAATTAGAAATATTATGTCTTTCTATTAAAGACATAATTCACCATTTAACTTATAAAATGTCCCCTTCCCTCTCATATTTCTTTATTTCAATATTCTTGAAGAAGAAAGTTTAATCTGTTATTAATATAACTATATCACATTTTCTTTATAAATATTTGCGTGGCATATTTTTCCTTTCTTTACCTTTTAACTTTTCTGCATTTTTATATTTAATGTGTTTATTTTATTATACAATATAACAATCTTTCTAAATTAAATTTATATCTTTTCATGAATAATCTCAAGATAGAGAGACTGTACCACTAGCACTACTAGGCTTCATAAATGCTTTTCCTCAGACGAGTGATATTGCTAATTATCAGTGAAAAGAAATTCGCATAATTGTCATTATTTTACAGAGCATTTAACCAGACATTAGTTCATCTAAACACAAATACCCTGTAAGGCATGTATTTCTGATTGTTTTGTAGCAGATTAAATTGGGATTCCTTAGAGGCGAAATGAGCTACCTGAGGTTACATAGCTGATGTGGAGCAGAGCAGTGACTCTAACTTAAATTATCTGTTTCTTAAGCCTGTGGCCTTTTCACTATGCTTAGGGATTATATTCAACAACTGTTACTATAATCTCCATGTCCGACAGATTTATTAGAAGGTAATGAAATGACCATACTGAAAATGAAAACTTTTCCAAACAGTTAAGCCTAGAGATTTGTTATACAGTAGCACGATCTAAGCTGGTGTAAAATTCAACAGTTTCCATCATCAAAAATACTATAGAAACTCAATAAAAATCTATTTTCTTGACATTATAACTCTGTGATCTGAACTTGGGAGTTCAAAATTATAGGAGAAATAAAAACCAAAAAGTGACAGTACAACCTGAAATAGCAGTTGAGTGAAGTCGTCATTCAAAATTAGCATCCTTGGAGTCTTCAAAATACACTAGTTATTGAAATTTGTAAACCAGGAGTCTCTGTAGTCTTAAAATTCCATCATTGCCCCAAATTTGAAGTCCAAAATCTCATCTAAAACTCAAGGCAAACTCTTAGCTGTGTGAATAAAGAGCAAAACCAAATTACAGCTGGACACAGTTGTATAAGCCTAAAATCCAGCAACTTGGGAGGCTGATACAGGAGGATTGCAAGATGAAGGCCACCATCCTTAGCAACTTAGCAAGGCATTAGACAATTTAGTGAGACCCTGTCTTAAAATGAAAAATAAAAAGTTCTAGAAATATAACTAAAAATGAAAAATAAAAAGAGCTAGAAATATAACTCCTGGGTTAAATCCCCAGTGCCAAAAAAAGCAAGTTACATATATCCTATATACAATGGCATAGAGTAAACATTTCCCTTCCTCAAAGGAGAAATAGGGGCAGAGGAAGAAAGGATGAGACTAAAGCAAGACGAAAATCCAGTTGGACAAACAAGTCCTGTCTACATGTCCAGCACCTGGGGTGCATGGCATTTTGAAGATCTCTCCAAAGGGCTTATGTAGTTTCACTCCTGTAGCCTTGCTGGTTGCATACCATACAACTTCTCTCTTAGATTGTTTTTGCTCAATTTCTGCAACTTTCCTCAGCTTATATCCCAAGGTACAGGCATCTCTTAATGTTGGGGGTCTCCTTTGCAGCCTCAGCTTCTTGCATATCTGTCTTCATGCACCACCCTCTCAGGGAAAGGCTACAGGTATTCCAACTACTCCTCCTACACCTTATCTGGCCTTCCAGGTCTTCCTTTGAAAGCTCAGTGCAATCTCCATTACCTCCTAATTCCAGCATCCTGCATTCCTGCAGAACCAGCACCACGTGGTTGATGCCAAGGTTTACTATTATCTAGAGCAGTAACCAAGCTTCTATATACCATGGCTGCAGTAGCCTCTGAGTGCCTGACTAACTGAGCACAGTGGAAAAACTTCTTAGGCCTCCCTCTCAAGCAGAGTGACCCCATGGTCTCTTCTCAAAGTCTTTAAGCCTGAGATAAGTGTGGTCTTGCCAATTCTGGAGAAGCCCACAAGCCATCTTTCCTATGATCTCCATCCAAAGTACTTAGCCTGTCTTTGTGGCTATAATGTCTTTAATAGTCACAACTTCCTTAGTCTGTTTACTTGCACATTTCTGGCCAAACCACAAGTTTTTCACATTTTCCCACTTTGTTTTCTGCTCCTGATTATCACAGTAAACTTGGCGAAAAGTCACCAGCAAAACCCATGCCAACTCCTGAATGTTGTGCTACCTTCTGCTGGATTAATTAGTCTACTACCTTTAAATTGAGCCTCATAGAAAGTCTTAGGAAATGGGCAAAATGTAAACAACTTCTTTGCCAGTGTATTACATGAATGACCTCTAGTCCAATTTGTAATAAAGTCCTCTGAAATTTCATGTGCCCAGTCTTTATTGTCAACAGTCCAATCAGCATTTTGGTCTTCTCATCCCCCACCAGAACATTAAACTCCACTTACAACATTCTAAAGCTTTTCCGTCCTGCATTTCTAAAATTTTCAAAATTCTTCCCAAAAAGTTTACAAAGCTCCAAAAGCCTCTGAACCACATGGTCAGTTTAGTTACCTCAATGGTCCCACTCATTGCACTAATTTTTTGTTTTAGTTAGTTGTGTTTTTTTTTTTTTTTTTACACTGTGATAAAATACCTGGCAAGAACAACTTAAAGAAGAAAGTTTATTCTGGCTCCATTTCAAAGGCTCAGTTCATAGTTAGCTGACTTCATTGCTCTAAGCCTGAGGTGAGGCAGAACATCTTGGCAGAATGGTGTGACAGATCAGTATACGGCAACTAAGGAGCTGAGAGAGTTCCACTCAAAAGGGGCAAAATATATTTACCATAGAGACACAACCCCAGTGATCTGCCTTCCCCAGCCACACCCTGCTTGTCTATGGTTACCACCACTTAATCCACATTGATGGACTAATGCCCTGATTAGATCATGCCTCTCATAATCTCATCATATTATCACTCAACATTCTTGCATTATCTCATCCATGAACTTTTGGGGAACATTTCATATCTACACTATAGCAATACCTTATGCTTAAAGAAAACATATGTGGTTCAAAATATGAGGTATTTTATAAAAATCTTAGGTGACTTTCTAAATACTTAGAAGCAAATGAGTCTACGACTCCCGTATTCCTCCTAAGATTTTCATTTTATATGCCAGCAAAGTAAAAAGATTCCTGTTTTCATTATGTCCGCTGACAGCCAAATTTCTCCCTCAACAACATCCTTGCCTCTAACGTTTTTGTCTTTTGAAACCAAAAAAAAAAAAATTGAAAAATAGAGTGATCTTTTATTTACGCTCTAGGAGGTGTTTGGTTACCACACCCAGCATCTTCGGAGAGCCCTCTGCCTTATTGCATCCGTGCTGACTGGTGGGGTCCTTCAGCTGCTGTTCTACTGGAGGCCAGAGTGGAGGGTGTGGGCCAACTGCACCCCATGCCCCTTACAAGAAGCAGACACCGTTTTGCTGAGGACAACAGTACGTAACCTTCAGTTATCTAGTTGAAATGCCATGATCATCACAGAAAGACAAATACTGCATGTTCTCACCATAGGTGGGAGCTAAAAAGTAGATCTGATAAAAGTACAGAACAAAATAGTGATTATCAGAGCCTGAGAAGGGTTTGGGGAGGGAGGGATGGAGAGGAGGGTTAATGGGTACCGGGGAGCAGTTGAGAGGAGGAATGACCTCTAATGTTCTGTTACTCTGTAGACATCATGGTTGAAAATAATTGACTATGAAAATAGCTAACAGAAAGAATTTTTAATACTCTCAACATGAAGAAATGATAAATGTCTGAGGTGATGGGTGGACCAATTACCCTGAACTGATCATTGTAGACTGTATGCATGAATTGAAAAGTCTCACCGTACCCCCAAGATAAGCACAACTACTATGTGTCAATTAAAAATTTATTCAAAACAAGAAAAGTCATGATCATGTCTTCAATGTGGCATCTGTGAACCAATAAATGATGAACCAGAGTTCTCAGGGCAGATCTTCCTCTACTTAAAGAATTCCCCTAAATGAAAAAAGGCAATGGCAAAATACCTCTCCAATCTGTATACTGTCTCTTTTTGAGCCCAGGAATAAAGAACACCTCTTTCACATGAGCCTGAGGAAATGTCTAGCATGTTAGGCTAATGGGCAGAGCGCCTAGTGATTATAGTATCAGCAGCTCTGAGGTTACAACACTTAGAGACCATAACCTGGGAACGATCATTCACTTTTTCACAAATAAGTATTTTGGAAGATATTAGACCTTTTAAACATCTAGATGTCATTTAAAAATAGCTAAAACACATTTTTTTTAGACATAAAGCTTCCTGCAAAGTATTTTTTTTCTCTTTTTTCCCACTGGTTCTCAAATGTTTGTGCAAATCCAAATTCTCTGGAGGGATCATTACAACACAGATGGCTGACCCCTCCACCAGTTTCTGGCTCAGGAGGACTGGGGTGGGGCTGAGAATCTGCCTTTCTAGTAAGTTCTAAGATAATACTGAGGATCTTGTTTGAGAAAAAGTTTTGCCCCAAACTTTGGGAAACACTGGTCTAGCATATGGTAGGTGTTTGGTTAATTGAGCACTTTAGTAAATTACAATTGAGAATTTTATGGATTGTATTAACTATTCTAGGATGAATTTCAAAGATATATTAGAAAGAAGGTGCTCTGCCTCCACTTATCTACCCTGAAGTTTCCTATAAGCAAGAACCCAAAAGACCCTTTGGTGGCTGACCACCACTCTGTCATAAACCAAGCAGTAATGAAGCCGGATTTAAAAGTAAGTGATTTTAAGAATGCAAGGTGATGGCATGTTTGCAAAGAAAGAATAAAATAAATGTTTATCCATGAGAGTTCTGGGAATGACAGCTATCTATTAGGCTGGGGATAACAGTTATCTATCAAAGAAAGGGAGGACACACATGGGGATCTGTATTGAACACAAGCCTTTCATGTGTCTTATGAATCATACTTGTTCCAACACATTTGTGATTGCAGCTGCGATGCATCCAAGTGCAGAAAATCAGGTATGTTTGGGATTACTTGGAGAAGCGCTTCCAGAAAGTTGGGTAAGTACAACTTTTTCCACCGCTGCATCAGGATGTGGGGGAAGAACGCTGACATGTTGAATGTTGTGAGCTGATTGTGGTTCTGCTTCACCATGTCCTAGGTTGCTGGAAGACAGCAACTCCTGCTATGACATCCATCAAACGTTTGGATTGGGTCTGACCAGCGAAGAGCAAGAAGTCAGGTAGGGTGTACAATACTTCCTGAGAGTAAACTCCACTGGCAGAAAAGTGAAGTACCAAATGGGTCACCATTAGTGTTCTGTTGGCACAATGCTTTATCAAACCTGATATAGTCCTAATTCATTTACTGGAAGGATAGGGAGTGCCGCAGTCTGGCTGGGCACAAAATCACGAGCCACCACACAGCTTGTAGATTCAAACAGCAACTCTTTATTCCCAAACTCACACCAGCCGTCTACAATCACGTTCTGGGGAAATCCACGTTCTCTGCCCAAATCCACATCCACTGGGCTTCTATCTCCCAAAAAATACTGTCTGAATCCCGTGAGAACTCAAGGGGAACTCAGGCAGCAGGATACGCCCTATTCCCAGCAGGAATAATCTTAAACCTGGAACCACCCTAAACCCGGATAGTCCTAAACCGGGAACACCCTAAACTCAGATCCGCCTTGGTCCTTGAGCAAGGTAGCCTACATGCAATGTCACTGCAAAATGTTCTATTTCCACGAGTCCTTCCACTAAGCAACATGGGGTACGCTGGCAAGGAAATTGTCATACCTACTTGGCTAATGGCTCCCAGCAAGGGAGAGTCTAAATTATTCTCAGATGCAAAATTATTTTTTGAAAAAGACTAAGTGCAATGCAATCGAAAAAAAATTTGATTGTTCTCTCAGGTTTATAAAACAGTATCTTTGTGTTCCCTTTTTTAATTCTCGCCTTTAAAAAATCTTGAGTTATTCCATAAACATCAGCTTCCTAATCCTCCAAAGCTTCTGAGGACCAAGAAGGCACTATTAAAAATGCATTCTACTATGAACAAACAGCTCTGCGATGGCATGTTTGCTGAGAAAGAATAAAAATAAGTATTTATTGATGAAAGTTCTGATTATTACACTGGAACTGCCAACCATGTATCAGGCTGTCAGGAGACAGTTTTGTCTGGTTAGTTGTGCTATTCATTGCGGCATCTCCAGCACCTAGAACAGTTCCTTATTCATGGTAGGAACTTAATAGCTATTTGTAGAATAAATGAATGCATTCATTGATTTGTTAACTACATGCTTCTAATTATGCCAGGCACTTTGCAAGGAACCAGCAATCTGAAAGGAAAGGATTAGTTGTAGTCCCAGAGACATTTACTGACTAGAGATAGAGAGACAAAAAGAATGGCACAATCATGGGACTGGTACTGTGGCATAGATTAGGAACTGCTCACACAGCCCATTGATTCGCACTGATATAGAGTCCCTGCTTTCTTAACTACACTTGAAACTGCCAATCCTGGTGAGTCTGAAGGAATCCATTGCAAGACTTCCCCACAGAGTTCCTAGTCTCCTTCATTTCTCAGTCATTTGATGGACATTACCTGCCTAACTTTGCAGTCAGCCAGAAACCCCAATTCTCAAGCTAAGCAGAAATCTGGTACCTAAAATATTGCTTTAGGACTCTACCCCCAAATAATTCTGATGATTCTGTAGGAGAAAGTAGTACTAATAATAGAAGGAACTATGCATTTAAGGCAAGCAACTTCCATAATTCTCACATAAACTGAGGGAAGAATTACTGATTTGTTGTTTTTAAGTTTTCCCCCTGCAAAAGCACTATGAAAAATAGTGCATCTAGACCAGGACAGCATTGCAAAATGCCTTAGAAATGGTATCATTATATAAGATTTCAGATTTAATGCTTACTACATTGAAACACAGAAAGTTTTCAAAGTTATGAAAAACCTATTGGTTTAATAGCATAAGCACAGATGTTTAAAGGATTGATCTAGAGCATTTAAGAAATCTCATTGATATATGTAGATATTCTCTGCCTAGGAAGCCATTTCTACCAGAAAGATTTCCCATCAGTGTAGTTACCTCCCATTTGTCCTTATTTATAAAGTGCCACGCTTTAATAAGCATCATACATAATTAAATTTAAGTCTGGTCCACACAATAAAGAACTTGACAATCTAATAAGCAAGACAGAGTATAGTTTCCCAAATATGAAAAATAGAGGAGATAATCTCATAAACATAGGCATATTTTATTTTATGGGCATGTCTGAATGGAGGGTGAAAAAAGAGTAAGTAGAATGTGGAGCATTTTTCCCATTTCTTAAGGTAAGACTAAGGTTTTCTTTTTTAAATTTAAATATGATTGATGGATTGGTTAAGAGACAGCTTGCCAATTTTCTAAATGAACTTGAGCCTGCCTGCATTTAAAACTAAGATCACTGGACTGGGAATATAGCTCAGTGGTAGAGTTGTTGTCTAGCATGTGCAAGGTCCTAGGGTTTGATCTCCAGTACCCACCTACTGTCGCCCCCTACACAAGCACAAACAAGAATGTAATGTGAGAAATGAAAAAAGGGGGAGGGACATGCAAGAATCTCAGATGATGATGATAAAAAGCTACAGAGTCTAACTATAAAGTTCTTTATAGGCTTCCAAGCAGCCAGGAAAAGAGGAAAAATGCATACACACGCTTTTCAATTTTTATGTAGCATACCAGGACATCAGAAGAGTTAATTTTTACTTGGAGAGAAATTGCCAGAAGGTATCAGGAAGAGAGCAAGTAAGTTGTCATAGGGGGCTCCTGTTCCAGTCTGCACCCATAAACTCAAACTTCCCTCTAAGTATCTGACTGAGACAGATTCATAGAGACCTTAGGTGATTCTTTTACTTCACAAGAATGGGGTTCAATGAAACCAATAAACCTACTGGATTCCTATCTAGGCAGGTGGACTATTAGGATAATTTTAAAGTTGAGGATTTTTTTTACTTTCTTTTTCACCCAGTCTATCTTGCTACATCCCTGGAAATAGAAATAGACTGGCAGGCTCCCTTCTGGGGTTAACTCCAAACTATTCACCTTGTTGATGACTTGTTGTCTGAAAGAAAGTAATAATAATAATAATAATAATAATAATAATAATAATAATAATAAAGCTTTGAAGGGCAGAGTTTGCCAGTTTCTATGGTGGAAATAGTCCAACCAAGGCTGAGTTAAGGCACCAATATGACATCACAGGACAAGAAGTGGGAAGAGACATAGTCAACTCAGGGATTCTGCAGGGCCAGAGTTAATTCCCAGCATTTGCTAAACTATTGAGGGGGGTTAGTGGGGGCGGGGAGGCATGCCGCTCAGTACCAGAGGAAAAGAATCCAAAGCACAGGCAGCAAAAGAAGGGTAGGTTTGCTATCAAGGTATAGCTCTAAGCTGGCAGAAGCTGTTTCATGAGAAGACAGAACTTAAGAAAAGAAAGAAAGAAGACAGAAAAAGGAGGAGGGAGGAAGGGACAGAGGTTGCATCTACCATGAAACTACTCCCTTACTCCTCAGGTATTGAGGGGACAAAACTCGGAAAAGAAATCATGCTTATGTACCGTGACCTTTATGCCCTTTGAAAGTTACACTTCTGGAAAGCATCCTGATCACAGATCTTCAACCATCAGATCAGCTCCTCTGGAAGGAGCAAGGAAAGGCTGGCTGGAAGAGGGGACAGGCAGAAGCCAATAGCTGAAATCTCAAGTCTTAACATTCAATCAGAAGTTAATAAGTCACTTTAAAATATTATTATGTATTTTTCTTTAAAATATAATGCAAAAGGCATTGAATAAAAATTAAATAAACTGAAATCAATATTCCCATTTTAATAAATTTAAATTCTCAGACCCATGGTTCTATGGGTTTAGGTCCACTGGAAGTGTGAAATCACTTATCTCCAAAGCTTGTTTCAGAGCAAAATCCTGTGGAGGAGGGATCAGTAAGTTGAAGTCCTGAATCCTAAATCCTGGCAAGATCCTGTCCTGGGCTTTTTTGCACCTCAACCTCAATTCCCCATCCCCTTCTGATTCTTTTTCTCTTCCAGATTTTCATGTCTGGGAATGCTCAGGATACTTCCTCAAGAAAAGCTGACTGGAAGTGTCTCATTTAGCTCACACAGAGGCATGGGATCCTGGAAGAGCCCAGCTCTTCCTGAGGTCATCTGGAAATGCCTAATTAAATGAAAGAAATGGATAGTTCGCAGATGAGCATTAATGTGAAAAACTAAAGTAACTTTTGTGTCATTTGTAAAATGGAGCTTTTTTATCAATATTTCATGAAAGTGTTTAAGCATTTCAAAGCATTGCTAAAATTGAGCTCCTCCAACACATACAAAGAAAGAATTTTTAAAAAATATACCAATTTTCTTATTAACTTTTAAAATGGGAGTGCTCTGTGACCAACACATCTGTTACACTATACAACCATACCCAAATTTCAAAGGTTGGGTGCCATACTCTGTATCTGTGAAGGTCTGTGGTCTCCCTCCCTTTAAGAAATGGTTTTAAGCCGGTGAAGGATTGGCTAGCAGAACCACCAGAGAGCTTTTTCCGACTCCAGATGCTTGCTCCCTAAATTCTCAAGTTCCTGCAGTGGGTCATGCTAGAATCTCTTGGCCTGGCATGGACTGTTTGGAAAGCTGCAGGTATCCCTCCCTCCCTGCCAGCAACCATGGGAGGCTTATCAGAGGAGAATCTTTGAGCAAAATAGCAGAGTGGTCATGTGAAGAAGCTCACCAGTCACTCTAACTGGCTCCTGCCTCCCCAGTACTCCACTCTAGTCCACACCACACCACTTGGTGCCTATAGTGCACCAGTAAACCACACAAAGTATTTCCAACAATTCTTTGGTGGATAAATGGGTAAATGAATGAATAAAGGAAAATTAGGCACCATGAAACACCCCCATAGAAAATACTCCCAGTCATTCACATTGGGTGTTTCAGAATTAAAGCAATCCAGCAGATTTACTAATATGTCGGAGTTAAAGGAAATCTTAGTGGTCTTTCAAGTGCTGCCCTAGTTAGCATAGAAATTCCTTTCACAAGTCCCTGCTGTGAAATTCAACTTCTTCACTCTACAGCTACTCTTCCTTTGATGGATTGTTAGAAATGCCAGGCAAGACTATTTAGTTGTTTTTGGCTTATGTTGTTCAGAGAAGACACTTGGAACAATTTCAGGGCCTCATTTCCCTGCCAGCTCATCAGATTTTTAGTTAGCAAATATAATATTGGACCTTTACTCATGTGACCCAACTTCAGGCCTCATATTCCTCTTGTTGTTTAATTCTTGGTCAGCATTTCCTGAAAACTTGGCTTACACTGAGATTGAGATGAGCACATGTTCCCTAAACAGACTATATTTTTTTGGCAAGAGACAGCAGAAAGGACAGCAACAAGGGGCATAACAGGCTATGATTTAAACATGTCCCAGATGAGCCCTAAATATCACTATCTACAGGCAAGTGTTGATCCACTGGTTCCCTGTCCTCTTTATGTCTAAGCTCTTCATTTAATGGTGATATCAGAAACCATCTCACCAAACAGGAAGAGTCAAAACATACTGACCTTTGGTTAGCTTTCTACGTTGACTTTCCACAGTCTGGTTCTATCTTAGTTGTGCATCTGGGTTTTGAGTCTTTTCAGGGGAGACAGTATTCTAGATATGGGCCATAGTGTTTTTTGTTAATTAACTACAGTATTCAGGAACATCTGTGTCAGATACTGTGTCCTTAGATACCAGAAAAATCGAGTTGAAAAAGTTCCATTCCTGCCTTTAAAGAGAGCCTAGACAATCAGAGGAGAAAAAAGGCATAAAAATACATGTTACAATTCAATGAAGTCTGCACTGTGACTGAAAAAGAGAATGTTGTTGAAAGAGAGAAAAATACAGTTAATTTTGCCAAAGGAATTCAGACTTCAAAGATGGCTGCCATTTACTGAGAGCTTGTCCTGCCCTGGCACCTTTGCTAAAAGCTTTTCATATCTATTGCGCTATGATGCTGATAACAATTTTATTAGGCATATTTTACCAAACTCATTTTATAGATATGGGAACCAAGACTCATGCCTCACTCAACCCTCCAACCATTCATTCAACGCATAATGCTCCAATGTGTTATGTGTATCAGCTCCTGTTTTAGGCCTTTGTGAGCTGTCCTAGAAGCTTATATGATAATATAACACCTGTCCTAGAAGCTTATATGATAATAGAGGATACAGTCTATCATTTGCATGCTCATTATCATGTTAAAAATAAGGTGTAATTCCAAGTAATCATATGCATTATAAAGTAAAATAAGATAGGTTAAGAATATAAAGAGAATCTTTGAATAGTTCTTTTATTCCCCCAGTACTGGGGATTGAACCCAGTGCCTTGTGCTTGCTAAGTTAGGCAAGTGCTCTACCATTACACTACACCTATTTTAAATAGAATGATTTGAGAAGGTCCACATAAGAAGGTATCATTTGAAAAGTAATCTGAACACAACAAGAGAGCAAGCTATGCAAAGACACAGGGAAACGGATTCCAGGTAGAGGGAACAGCAAGTATAAAGGCCTAGCTAGAGGCAAAGCCAGGTCTATTCTAGCTCACATTTCTCAACCACTAGGCTCAATGTCAGATTTGGCTCTTTCAATCTGAGGAGGCATTTACAGAGTGAAGAATTGAAGACAGACAGGGACTGTTTGGGGGCTCAAATTTGGAGTCCTGAGAAGTTCTGACAATAGACCCATAATTTATTATTGCTATGGATTTGGTACCAAAGTTGATTGAGTTGTGGTCTTTCCCAGTGTGAAGTTTAGGGAGTCATGAAGCTATATAGCAGCATGGGTATTTGGCCTGCTTGTCTCTTAACTCCCCCAAGCCCCAGTATTTCTCTAGTATGGAACCATAAGACCTTGGTATGAGTCCTCTCTGTCCCTTGCAAGCAATAATTATACACTTGCAAAAGCTTGGCTTCAAATCAGAAGAAATTGGGCTCAGCTCTCAGTTATATCTCAATGATATCAAGGATATTTCATGTAGATTCTCTCCTTTGGTACTTGCTAAGGCAGAGTTGTAGAGTCTAGAGATCAAGGTAAGAAGTCCAGCTCTGTCTCTTTCTAGCTTTGATATCCTGAGATAGTTACTTAATCTATCCAAACTTCAGTTTTCTTTATAGTAGGTTATAATATGGAATCTGATGGGGATAATGTGATGATTAAAGTAGTTAATGGCTTTAAAAGGATAAGTGAAGTTTCTGGCACTGTTATCTCTGCTTGAAAGTTATATTGTCATGATTAATATTAGATGTGTGCACCTTTGGTTAAACACCCACACCAAGCAATTTATCTCATTGGCTAATGGAGCTACTCACTCTTGCCTTTGGACTATCATGAGGATCAAATGAGTCTTTTGTAAGAACTTTGTAAAATACTATACATACATGAAATCTTCTTTTTATAATGAACACATGTATTATACCTTGTTTTCAAAGTATAAGTTTCCAAGGTGAAGACCTTCTGTCATCTTCCAGAGCATTCGTTTATTCATTGCCATATTCATTCAGTTCACATACTAAGGGCCTGTCCTGGGTGCTGGAGAGACCAATGTGAGACAGATGTGACCATTCACATCAAGAACAGCCTAAAATGCCTGCCAGATCTAGAGGCATCTTCATATCTGTGTCCTTTTGCTGCCTTTAAAATATAATCAAATTATTTAAAAAAAAACTCAAAATGACTTTCTAACTTCATTTGGACACATTGAGTTGTAGTGGTGACATCTGTAAACCAGAAAAGCAACTTTGTTCATCATACATTGACATTCACTTCAAAAACATATTAGTAATTTAGTATTATATTTCAAAAATACTTGCATATTATTGTTCAACTGAAGCCAGAAAATCTCCAAAGAGCAGAGATGTGGTTTGTACTTAGACTGTACTCACTTGTCACTGAGCTCATAGGTGTGACACTAATGGATGATCCATCTCCTACAGAAGATTAGTGTGTGGGCCCAATGCCATTGAGGTTGAAATCCAACCCATATGGAAGCTGCTTGTTAAACAGGTAACTGGCTATTTTCTTTTCTTTTTGAGGAAAAAAAAAGATAATTTCTGTCCCTTATTTTGTACTTAGTACTAGGAAAAAACTTGAATAGCATATGAATACTTCTATGTAAATGAAATCTGTATTTCATGCAACTTTTTTTCTGTTTCTATCCTTTTGACTTGAGTCTATACTTTTTCTATTGAGGGTTTTTCAAAACAGTTGATAAATGTTATTATCATTTTTTTCTCTAGGCTGTCTAAATGATGTTTGCAATAACCACTTATTTTAAGTTCAAATCCACTTTAAAATTCCTTCCCACTGTGAGAGACAGATTACCATTTCATAATCTCTTGTTTCTTTTGTTACATTTTTGATGGTAGAGGAAGTGTCTTAGTTCAGTCTACTATAATAAAATGTAGACTGGAGGCTTAAAGAGCAAATGCTTATTTTTCAGTTTTGGAGGCTGGAAAGTCCTGTGTACTCAGTTCTTACAGACATCTTCTCATTGTGTCCTCACATGGTTAAAAAGAAGAGAGCTCTGATCTTTTCCTTTTCTTGTGAAGACACTAATCCCATCATGGCAGCCCCACCCTCATGGCCTCATGTGAACCTTCCTACCTACTAGTCCCCTCAAGCCCCACGTTATACCATCACTCTGAGTGTTAGGGCTTCAACACAGGACTTTTTTGGTGGGGGCTGGGCACAAACATGCAGTCCATTCCATGAGGCAATGTGATTACTTCTATAATTTCTGAGGAATTAAAATGAATTAATTCAGTCTTTTTCTAATTGCTTAACAATTTTCTTAAGAGTGACTTCTTTCAGAGATAGTTTTTTTCTTAAACAAAATTTTCTTTGTTGTGTTTTGAATTTATTTTTTTTAAAGTTCCCATTAAATGGGACATTGGGTTCCTTCCATTTTCTCATTTCTCCCTGTGATTGCTGTCCCTATTTGATGGTTCTGTTTGGGGCTTCAGTTGGTTCCCATTAGATCCCACTTCAAAACCAGGTCCACATTGGAGATGCAAGTGTCTGTTCTCAGGAATCTGTCAGATAATCAGCCCTGTAGGGCTTGGTCGAGTTCATGGCTGTATCATGGACAGTTTTTCTCTCCTGTTGCAGACCTCAGCTGTGAGCCATCTCTGCTTGTGACTTTTTTCAACCTCCAAGCTGGGACAGGAAATCCCCAGGTGTCAATCTGGGATTGAAAGGAGCACTAGTATTTTTTTTAGCACCTATTTACTAGGACTTTATAGAAAAAAATGCAAATCAAACTACTTCTTCACATTTAGTTTCAAAAGAATATTAGATGAAGGAGACAAATCATCGTTGTGTTGTTTCATTCTCTGAGAAGTATTTAACCAGTTTTGTACTGGATTTCAATAAACTCAAAACCATGTTATCATTAGTGCATAATCTATAATTAGAAAATTTTATGCCAAGCAAACACAAGAGCTGTAATTTGTAAGTAAAGTAGTTGAGATGGAAATAATAAGAAACATTAAGAAACAAAAGCTTTTTCAATGTTACACAATATATCCCAGGGCTTAAGAAACCCTCAAGATCAGCCTATTAACATATTAACCCGATACCATTTCATTTTTAGGATTAAAAATAAAATTTTATTTAATATATTAGGAAATTATAGAAAGTGGAGGCAAAACAAAAGAGTACCACTGGTTCCAGACCGTATTTCATCTAATTTATGAAAATCATACAGGGAACTTCCCCAAGAAATGAATCCTGGCCTTGTCCCAGTGGGCTCTTTAATTTTCATATGTCTGGACATCCTGTGGTCTTTCTCTAACTACTCAGGTGTTTCCTCCCTAATATAATTACAAAAAATAGAGCCAGTAGGACCAAAATGGAAATTTGAAGGAATAAAGAAAGTTTAAAGATATCATCAAGAGACCAGAAAGGTATGTGCTTGGTTGACTGGTGCTGGGGCTGGTGATTCTGGTGTCCAAGATTTTCTCTGCAGCCTTGGCTGTGTTCTTTCTTTTCAGGATCACTCTTTTTGAAGGGAAGGGCCATTCTAATTCCACTGACTCTCAGAGCATCTTGCCATGGCCTGTGACATGACAGATATTTTAAATGACCTGGATAAAAGTAGAATCTCTCATTTTCATTGCACAACTTGACAGAATTTGCAGCATGTGATTACATGAAAATAAACTTTAAAAAAAAAAACTGTTAAAAGGGCTGGGGATATAGCTCAGTTGGTAGGGTGCTTGCCTCCCATGCACAAGGCCCTTGTTTCAATCCCCAGCTCCCCCCTCCACCAAGAAAAAAAAAAAAAAAACCTGTTTGAAGGTCCTTTTAAAAGGAGACTAAATCATATATCTTCTTTATTATGGGCAAATCTGTTGAAGAAGGTAAATTGTTAGATTTTATTACTGGAAATAAAGTCTTAAAAGTTCAAAATAATTAAGAATTAACAATTTGTGGACATGGCTTTCAGTACTTAAAGTCATTTTGCTTTCACCATATCACATTCTATGTGATTGACATTGTCTCTACCCAAAATTAATGAAGTTCTAAGTAAGTTCTTAAACATTAGAGGTTATTGTATGTTGTCAAAAATGGAAGAGCCAGGCGCGGTGGTGCACTCCTGTAATCCCAGCGGATTAGGAGGCTAAGGCAGGAGGATGGCAAATTCAAAGCAACTTAGTGAGACTCTCTCTCTAAATAAAATACAAAATAGGGATAGGGATGTGGCTCAGTGGTTGAGTGCCCCTGAGTTCAATCCCTGGTACAAAAAAAAAAAAGGAAGAAATATTCTATAAAGAAATGGTATCATCTTGATTGCTACCAAGGTCCATTCAAGTGACTCTAGTGCTATTTTTGTACCTGCAGGTTTTAAATCCATTCTATGTGTTCCAAGCCTTCACCCTAACTTTGTGGCTGTCTCAAGGTTACATAGAGTTCTCTGTGGCTATCATCATTTTGACCATTATCTCCATTGTCTTAAGTGTGTATGATTTGAGACAGGTAAGAGTTGAACTTATATTGGATTCCACATAACCTCTGGCTAAAGAGGCAGAGACTTAGAATTTTCACCAATAACAAGGAGTTGCTTTGTCAAACATAAGATATAGCAAAGCAATAAACAAGAGCTTACCAATTGTGGGATCTCAGGAAGAGGGCTTTAGGAATGCCAGGTAGATTTAAATAATAAATGTCTTTGCGAACTCTGATTATCAGCTAAAGATTTTGTTGAATGTTGGATTTAGAAGGACTCTGAGGCTTCCTCTGAGCCTGGTGGGAAAGAATTCTGTGGTGGAGTAATGATGTCAGTCATGGTTTCAGGAGAAAGGGAGGAGGAGCAGCTCAACTGTGCATATTAGTCAAGAAGACACTATGTCTCCTAGGATGATTCGATGGTGTATTTTCCCCAACTTATATACTGTGCTTTCTTCACATTTCTCATCTAAGTGTTTATAACGAATTTTAGACTTAAGATTCCTTTAAAATGTTTGTTTCTTCATGTGGAATTCAAGATTAATTTTTTTTTAAGAAAACCCAAAACAAATACAGAAATTCCTGTGTGGGAGTTAGGGAAGTTGCTAAAAAACTCAGTTTTGATCTTCCCCTCAACAAAGCAGTGTTTCAGCAAGAGACTTACATGAAATTCCTGAGCTGCTGACCTATTAAGTCGAAATATCCAGGATAATATCAAGAATCTGCATTTCTGGCCGTTTTCTATCAGGTGATGGTCAGACAATCTGAAGGCTAAAGCACTGTTGTTATCAGGGGAATCTAATGAAGTTGAATTTGCACACCAAGATCCCAAATACGTGTTTTTATTCATTTATTAATGTTGTCATCAGCTGAACATATTTATTCACTCTTTTCATGCTATTAGGTGCATATATAATACAATTTTATGTGGAGATTTGTATACTTATTAAGTTTTTAATTGAAATAGAATCTTACTATGCACATTAATTTGCATCTTTAATTTTCACTTTATTGTATATATAATGGCAATTTACCAAGCAAATAAATAATTGTAATTCATGTTTAAAAGTACCGCTATGATATTTTATGGAATATCATAATCTGCTCGCTATTTTTATGTATGTAAAATAATATCATTTCTCCAATTTTTGCCAACACAAATAATGTTGAATTAAACATAACTACAATATAGTCATGAGTGTTTGGAATTTTTTTAATATAGGAGCCAAAAGCCAGATTATTGGATCAAAGGATACATATAATTTGAATTTTAATAGATTCTGCTATATATTTCTCATGAAATGAAATAATTTCTTCTCTCCTGCAACACAAAAGAGTATCATTTTCCAGATCCTCATTTTCCGGATCCTCATCAGCATTGGGTGTTATATGTTGATATTTGAAAAGTTCTATTTAATATTTTTAAATATACTTTGCCCTGATTACCAGTGAAAGTAGACACACTTCCATTTGAGTTTTGCACTTTTTATTTTATATTAATAGACTCTTTATGTCCATCACATGTGTGACTAAGTTTTATTTTTAGTCTATCTTTTCTCTCTTGACCTTGATTCTTACCATATGTTAGAAATTATGTAGTCACTTGTATTTCTCTTTTCCTTTATGGGTTCTGGTTTTCTTGTTTTGCACATAAAGATCTTCCTTTTGTAAGTTAGGTCATTTCTGTTCTTTGCATTTGCAATTTGCTTAATATTTATTTTTAAATCCTAATGGAATTTAAACATTCAGGTCCTGCATCTTAGCAAAAATCTCTAAATTCGTTTGCCCAAAATAGTGACTGACATGGGAACTTCAGACTTGATGGCAAAGGATTTCTTCAAAAAGAAGAAAAGGAATTAGAAGACAAGAGCTAATCCTATTAGCAACTGGTATTTTTTTTTAAGCTTACCCGACCCAACCTGTAAGGCATCTTTTAAAACCATATAAAACAAGCCAGTTTCCTGAAACTGTATCCTTGCAGTTTAAATCACAGATCCTCCATGATCACATCTATTTAGTATTTTAGAGTTTACAACAATACCCACATGCCTAACATACACATGTGTTTGTATGGAGCAGGATAACATAATAAAGTGAGACACACGCAGGTGTCATACACTCCTACCACCTGACAGTAAAAGACATGACAATCAGGAAGGTGAGAGACTTGCTCACACACACTCAAGGAATGGTGGCTGTAGACCCTTATGCCCAGGTTTCCTGACTCTGAATCAAGTACTGCCCACTGTCCTGTTGAGCACATTCTCAAAGTGACCTGAGGACTTGGTTGTAATGGTGGGAAGGAGGTTGGCAGGAATGCAGAAAGGAACATCTACTGCTATCTCCAAATCATTCTATCGACCTACATTGAAGTTCATCATCTAACAGAATTTAAAGACTTAGCTAAATCAACACAGGCTTTTAAAAATTGAAAGAAGAAAGGTGTTTGCAGAAGTACAAGAAGATATCTTCCTGCACTTCTTCTAGACTCAACTAATGGTACACAGTTTACCTAATCAAAGCCCAGGATCACTCTTGCAGCAGTTCCTTCCTGACAAGTTCCTTGCAGTTCTGAGTGCAAACCTTGGGACCCACCAATACATTGTACTGTATCCACATGCCCTGTCACTGGGCTGTGCCATGGTAACTGCTAGATATAGCTCTGAGTAGCTGGCCCCATAGTGCTTTGCCTTCAGTCAAGACTGAGCTGGACTCAAGAGGCACCTGAGTCCTGGTTGCTCATCTCTGGAGGAAATCCAGCCACAGCTAATACAAGTGCATGCAGCAACAGATGCTGAATAATAATAGTATGTAAATTAGTCTTGGAAACTGATCCTGGTCCCACTGAAGAGGAACTGGAGAAACCAGAGGGGGCCTAATGAAAATCAGGCAACGAGCTTCACAATCATGGCAGGCATCACAGCATTCGCCTTCTCCTGGCTGGTTGGTTGTCATAGAAACCTGGGCTTGTAGAGCCTCTGAGTACATTAACTCAAAGAAGATGCCTGCATTATCTTACTCCAGTGTCATTGGGAGAAGTAGAATGATTCAGTTCAGTTAAATACATATTTGCTGAGAGCCTACTATGTGATAGACTCTGGGGGATGCTGAGATGAATACATGGCCCCTTTCTTCTGCAAACTGCCTGCCTTACTGGGGAGACCTGACAAGACAACAGGTAGTTGTGGTTAATACCCCAACACAGGTGGAGACACAGGGAATAGAACAATGCGTTCTTCCTGGGGATGGAGACTTATGGGGTGGAGGTGACATTTAAGTAGGAATTTATCTGAAGGATTAGAAAGAGTTCACTAGTAGAAAACTAGGCTGAACATTCTAGGGAATAGCCTGAGCAAAGGCAGGCAAGCATGGCAGGTTACGCAGAATGCTAAGTCTGATAAACAAATCCAGCTTTACAGCATAATGAGGTTTGAAAATTACAGTCAAGCATTATTAACTCATACTTCACCACTTGCAAATGTGTCGATTACCATCCTCTTCAGCTAGGCTGAAGTCATCGTGGCATTGACTGAAAGAGTTTTCTGGGCAAAAAATAATAAAGAAATTTGGAAGTGAGGATATTTATCTTCTAATAGAAGAAAAAGCCCTTTCTTTTGAAGCACTGGAAGAATATACTCACCAGGAGATAATGCTTTAGAGTCAGATAAACCTGGGTTTGACCTTCAAGTTTAGCAAGTAAACAATTATGGGGAAGTGACTTCAACATTTTTTAACCTCAGTTTTTTGCTTTTTGTTTTTGTTATTTATATGTATGTTGGAGACAACATTTTCGTCATAAAATTATTTCAAAGATTAAAAAATATATATATTCCAAGTACTTACAGCAGTGCTTGATACATAGTAGCTGCATAATGTTTCAACTGTTTTAAAAATAATAACTTGAATTATTTATATACCTCATGTATTTCTTCTATGAAGTCTTGAGTGTTTCAGATAAATCCCTAACATGTAAAACAAATCTGCCGCATACTATGTTTGATCTTGAAAGTAACTTGAAATTGGTCAAATTCAATGTTATTTGTTTACAAAGGAAACAACTAACTTATAAGGTGAAATTTCTTATGCACCATACATGGCTGGTTAGTGGGTGAGCCAGACCTACAGCTCAGGAATCCTGAGCAACTCCAGTGTTCTTGCCACAGAATCAGAGCTGACTTTCTCACTCCTACCTGTCATTCAAAGGCATGCCCCAACAGTCAAGCCCCAGGAAGTCACCTTAGGACAATGGAATATGTATCCAACAGTATTATCACTTCTTCTACTCAATTGGTCCAAATTAGTGAAGTTTAGCTTTTTATGCAAAACTGAAATAAATAATCAAATTTTCCATATAAATATTAACACTAAATGCATTATGTTCTCTGAAGGGGAAAGTTGTGTAATTTTGTGTAATGTTTGTCTTAGCCTGGTGACATTTCTGTAACATTTAAAAAAAAGTACCAATGGAACAGAAAAAGATAATTTAATAGCTAAAAATAAATGTTTCATGTTTGAACTAGGTTAAGCTGCATTTGAGTACTGTCCACAGTATTCAAACCCTCTTCTATTTAATGGCATCCAAGTCATTGATATTCATACCAATGGGGCAGTGCCTTCTACAGCTGCTCAGCCCTGCTCAGCCATCTCTCTGGCTGATGGTGCCCCAATGGTCACTCTGGGGAAGTTGTGTGGATGAAATCCCCTCTCACCCCTGTCTTCCCATGCTCGCCATTATGCTAGGAGATGTTTAGAGATGTTGCTTCCATTACCCCAGGCTCCTTCCATTTCCTCCACATTTTACAGAGACCTATCTCAGTGAGTTCTACCTCAGGCAAGCCTTTCCAGCTGGTGGACTCTCACAACTCTTTTCCCTTCAGCAACTTTCTTATTCTTCACTAACACATTTGAACCCTCAGCATAGTACTGAGTACTATGCAAAGGGCTTTATGAACATTGGTTTAAAACTGACAACAGCCCTAGAAAAACAGAGATGGCTATTCTTTCTCCTTTTAGATGAGCAAAAGGGAGTCAAACAGGTAAATAACTTGTAAGTGATAGCACCAGGATTCAAAACTGAGCCATATGACACCATGCTACAGACTCATCTGACATGAAAACCCCCCATTTATAGCAGAGGGGGTGACTGTTCACTTTTGATCAAGCACAACTTAAATACTCACGGGCTTTGACAAGTGGAAATCTGCTTAGTGAACAACTTGAGCTTTGTCGTTTTACAGACAGGGGAGCGGAGGCTTAGAGTGGGAGGTAACCCATCCAGTCTCAGTCTTTCTCTTTTTACTTGTGCATTCTCAACATGTTGATAAAGTCTTGCTTCCCTGGCATAGTCTTTTGAGACAGTGGCTCTGCATCATTTTTCCTGGGAGGGAAATAGCATTATTTCTATTTCTATTTCTATTTCATTCGAACTCTTAAGCGTGGTCACTTCTGCAAGGAGTGGGGCAGGTGGGGCAGAGGTTGGGGCAGTGCAGCTGAAGCATGGAGTTGTTTGGCTGTGACAGCAGGTTGGCATTTGCACTGTGGAGATCAGGTGGCTTTCAGGACGTGGACTGATACTGAAACTTTGACTTTACATTGATAGCAATCAGTGAAGCTGCACAACCTTGTGGAGGATCACAACAAAGTCCAAGTTACAATCCTTGTGAAAGACAAAGGTAGGTGATACTGTTCTGCTTCTTGGGCATGCTACTGTTTCAGGGTGGAATCTGACTCATTCATCCTTGATTACTTACTCGTCAAAGAGAAAAAGTCTTTTCTGATTGAACTCAGGACTGGAACTAGGGTGAGAACAGAGCATCTAAGACATGAAATCCAAGGAAGCAAGGATGTACAAACACTAATCCTGCCTCCACAGGGCTGGAGAGGGAGTGCCCTGTTAAACCGCAACCTGGGCTCCTCACTTGCCCTAGTCCTGATTGAACCATTCCTACTCAATGTCTGGATTACTTCAAATTCCCTCTGTCCTCCATATTTCATTCATGTGGATATTACTGGAGAACCCTTTTAAGGTTCTTTTATATTCTTCAACTAGCCATCCCAAATACATCCCATCAAGTATTTCAAACTATCTTCTGGAACCTAGACCTGCATAGGTCTTTTTGATGCTGGCTGGACACTGGCTAGTCTGGGTCGGGTAGCCAAGGCTGTCTGCAAGGAGTGAAGAGCTACACTCAAAGCAGCAGAAGCTCTCTGGACAATTTTCCTAAGGCCCTAATCCAAGGAGAGAAAGCTTGCCCTGGGGGGGGGGGAATGCAAACAACAGCCGAAGGATCTTTCTTCATTGACAAGTGCTGTTGAATATTCCCTGTGGGCCAAGCACTGACTGAGTACTAGGATCCAAATGGGATCTTGTTGCTGAACTAATCCTTTGCTACATTCCAGGAACCGATTCCCTAATTCTGGTTCTCCTGGAAGTTTCAGTTGAGTGGAAAGGGCTTAAACAGGTAGGATAGCTCTTGGCAAACAGGTCAGTAAGGGTTCTTAGTTGCTTTAATTCATAAGTAAAACTAAGAAAACTTTGTTCTTATATAGGTTTGCAGGAGCTGGAATCTCGCCTCTTGGTTCCCGGAGATATTCTTATTCTTCCAGGAAAATTATCATTGCCTTGTGATGCTGTTTTGATCGATGGGAGCTGTGTGGTGAACGAGGGCATGCTCACAGGTAGACAACTTGCCTCAAGCTAGTCGTCCCTGTCCAACAGCTAAGCCAACACTTAGCAAATCAGATCACCATACATCTACCCTGCCCCAGGCTCCATTTCCATATTGACAGATAAGGGAGATAAATTTGGCCTTTTCATTCAAGTAGAGGCACAAAACACTCCAGCAGGCTGTGTTGAACAATGAGAAGAACTAATTCACTATAAATACAAAATATTTAATACCATATGTATTAAATGAAGAAACACTTAATATCATATGTCATTAATTGCCTGATGGGTGGGGAGGCTTCAGTAGGTGAACAGGTTGAAAGACAATCTGTTCATAAATATGAGACTGGCTCATGCCCATATTCAAGCAAAACACAACCCACAAAACCCAGCAATGCCCACAATTGGAAGGGTGTAGAGATATTTTTCCTAGCCTTGCATTGTACGGATGGAAAACTACTTCCAGGTTTCAATGGAAAGTTTGAGTTAAACCTTAGGGTAGAAACAGTACAACAGCTCTGTTCTCCTTTGGACTCATAATTCCAGTTGATCTCACTGTGCAGAAAGATCTAGTTTTCGTTTACAGTTCATTAGGTTTACTTACATTTGTATAATTAGTAAGGCACTATTTATAAAATATTCTTTAGTTCGAAAAATAGTTGTCATAAGAGATACTATAAAACAACACAAACATAGAAACTACTTTTCTTTTGTGCTTGCAGATTGTCAAGTTTTTCTATTTCCAAATGGTGTAAAGACAGGGAGGAAAAAACCTTAATACAACCTAAATGTAATGGAAGTTCATTATCCCTAAATTGTTCCACATAAGCAGATTTCACATTAAAAATGAGTCTGCTTAATTTAAAATTGAGACAAGAAAATGTAGTAAACATAAATATGTTTGGTATAATTACAAAATACCCCTTTAATGTGTTGAAATCTAACTGCCTTATAATGACAGTGATGAGGATTTGCATACTGATCATATCTTTTATCCAGAGTGTTGCCATAGTACCCAACACGAAAACCTCAAGCTCAACAAAAACTGTCCTTCTCCCTCCAATGCAGCCGCTGTCTCCCAGCTGCTTGTGAGGCAGAATGGCTGCTCTCACTGGCAACAGAAAGGCTGTGCCCTTGGTCTGTTCTTTCTCCTCTCCCTGACTGGACTGTACAGTGCTGCCCTTGATTCTCAGGAAAACTCAGAGAGTTCCAGAGAATTAGAAGTGGCGAACAATGCTGCCTTTCAAGAAATGGGTAAAATCGACCTAAAATGACCTAAAATGATAAGTGGCTTTTTCTAATGTTCATTCTGGGAAAAATTAAGGGGACAGTATTACTATCTATGTAACCTAAGTACCGTAAAAGGCAACTAAGGTGACAGACACATGAAATAGAGACATATATACTTCTTTCTCGTTAATTTCTTCACAAACTTTTAAGTCCCAGCATGCTCTAAATACTTTTTATACAGCCTACACCCCACCTCCCACCATGTTCATATTTGTGCAAAGGATCCTGTTTGAACAATCAGAAGATTAGGGTTAGATTACTGAAACTGCAATTGTGTTCCTAGGGTATTTGTCCACAAATGCGATTCAGATTCTGGTGGGGGAAAAAAAAAAACACAAAAATCTTTATTGATGTAATAATAAATATGGCAAATACTCTTAGCATCGCTATTGCAACATATTTTATAAATAACTTTTACATCTCACTTCTTTGTGGCACAAAACAGATTAGATTGGGAGTTATTATCATACCAGTTTACAAGTAGAAGAATTGGAATTGGAGGTGACCTTTGTTCCTGAACACAAGGACCGTGGGAGGGAGGAAGATGATCCACAGCGGGTACAGCTGCCCTCTCCTTGTCAGGTCCTATCTCCTTTGACTCTTGTTTTCCCATCTACCACACCTCCCCCAGGGCGGGCTCTTCCTCCTTGCCATCTGGCCTCTCCTGTTGGCACAAACTCAGCTATGCAGGATATTCAACTCTATCTTACACCTACATTTCATTGTACTGTTGGCTTCAAATGTTGCCATTCTTGAAAGCGTCAGGTGTGAATTACCTGGCATGAGCCAGTCGTCCCCTTAGATTAGCTGTCCTCCAGACCCTTATCTGGCTACCCAGAGTTGTATAGTGAGCAGGTGGGTGTGGTCTAGAGAAGGTCTTCTTCCTAGTCTACCCTGAACCTGGGAGACTGATGGAGGCTTGCCTACCTGGAAAGGGAGGCAGACCCAGATGCCAGTTAGTTTCCACAAAGTTAGTGCAGGTCCCTTTTCTTAGGGACATGTGACATGTAAGTCTCTTTTTAATTTGATTTACTTCCACCTATACGTGCTAGATTCTATATGTTTTATCTATTCCAATTTACATAGAAATGCAGTCGAGGGAAGGCATGGTGAACAAAAAAGATTTGTTTTCACTCTCAGGCAGTCCCTAAAATTCATGATCAAATTTATGACTGACTTTTAAAACTCAAAAACCAGTGATTACCTCCTTGTCCTTTTTTCTGCCTCCTTTTCTGAGGGAATTGATCCCCTTTAGTATCCAGCTCCCTTGGAAGGAGAGGAATCAAGAATCAAAAGGGAATATCATGGGAAGGAGAATCTATTAACATTTTGAATTCTTCTCATCGTAGCTCATTTGTTTTGCTCTCATATGTATTAGGTTCTGTACTAACTTTTTACATCAGTTACTTCCTCCAAATCAGATCACCATACATCTACCCTGCCCCAGGCTCCATGCTATGACATTGACAGATAAGGGAGATAAATCTGGCCTTTTCATTCAAATAGAGGCACAAAATACTCCAGCAGGCTGTGTTGAACAATGAGAAGAACTAAGTCACTGTAAATACAAAAATCTGAAACCCAGATTAGGTAAATAATCTGCCTATAATCACAGAATTTACAAGTGGTGCTGATGAGATTTGGATTCATTTGGTTATACATTCATTCACTTACTTCACAAATGTTTATTAACGAGCAGTGAACAGGCAGATAAGATTTCTTTCCTTAAGGAGGTAACATCTTGGGTGGAAAAAACAGAAAGCACGAGAGTACACACATGATATAAATTCCCAACAAGTATGTTTTATGAAGAAAATAAAACACCTAAATCCAGGCATTTTGTCCCCAGAGCCTATGCTTATAAGCAGTGCTTCCGCCTTCTCTTAGAAATACCTGTGTGGGAGAGGGTGGCATTCATTCTGTCACAATCTCCTGCCCGCTCCCTCCATTCATTAAATTACTCTTGTTTACAAATTTAAAACTTGCACAGGAAGTGTGCCGGGACCCAGGAGTTCCCTCAGTGTTTGCATATTGCCGTCCTGCCAGACTAGCTTCTCACCAGTCCATAAGCTAGATGGTTCCCTCTCTTCCTTTCTTGCTGCCTTTCCCTTGCTCTTGCTTATTCATTCTGTGTTTAATACAAGTTCAGAGATGCCTGCTCTGTGCCAGGCTCTGTGTTGTGTGCTGAAGTTACCAAGATGAATGGGAAATGTTTCCTGTTCTCAAATTGCTAAAAGTCAAATGGTTCCAGAGATGTTAATAAACAAGGACATAGATGTTTCCAATATGTCACCAAATGCAGGCACCTGGCTTCTTGGGGACAGGGGAGAGTATCTCCTTTTGACTGCATGAGGGGTCTCCGGATGCTGGGAGCCAATTCTACAGTTAACAGGGAGCAATGCTGGCACTTCCTTCTGAAACCTTGTTTTAGACTCTTTAGTCTCCCAGTCTTTTGTAGGTGAATCCTTCTTTTTTGTGGCAGGGGAAGAGGGGGAGTGTTCTCAAGAAAGTCTAAAGCATTAGATTTCTTATTAATGTAGGAATAATATAAAAGAGACTTGGAGATCATTTCTGTGTAATATCATCAGATTTGAGCTTCTATCTGGAGCACATCATTGCCAGATGGCTTTCATCTTTGATTGATCAATACCTGCCTGCCTCCAATTTCATTGGCTGTGTGTGTGTGTGTGAAACTGTTCACTAGTACTGTATTAACCAAAGTATCAATTGTGGATGACTATTCTTGAAGCCAAGGCAGAAAAACCTTGGCAAGTATTTGCCTGTTATAAAGGCTGATTTCAAAAAACAATGTGGTACAAGGATTTGGAGACATGTCAAAAGGTTCTGTCTCTTTTACAAAGTCATGTAGAATGCAATTGGCAAATTCACACAACAGATGTATATCATAATTGTTTTTTTAAAAAAAATGGTATGGGGACGATGCTATTCAAGATTACTAATAAAAAATTTATAGTTTTTTATACCTTATTATGTAAAATATGTACCATGCTAGGAAACTAGTTTTTGGGGAAAAAACTGGTTTTTTGAAAAAAACTAGTTAAAAAAACAATAATAGAAAAACAATAAAGGCCTCAGTAATTGCCTTTATTTAATTCATCCATGCATTTTAACAAAAAAATATATTTGAACCTATTATATACTACCAGGGAAAATGAGGAGCATATAAAGTTATACATGTTAAAGTCCTAACCTTGGTTATTACCTAGAAAGAGAGATAAGACCCAAATTTGTATAACTATAATCAATATAATACTATTTCCAAATTGGAAATATGACATATTATCTTGCTAACTGAACATTTAGCAAAAGACTGATGGAATTTTAAATTCACTTTAGTGCCCTTTAAATCTGGGAGCCAGGAAGTGTTATTAACATTTTTATTTTGTCTCTGAAATTTATCATTTTTGAACTCCGAGCAAAATTTCTTTTTTACCTTAAGTATCTTGTCTTGCAGCCATCAAGGAAAGGGAGATAATTGGTACCAGCAAAGAATGGGAGTCAATAAAGGGAAATGAAAGGGCCTCGTTCAGCTGGAGCGTGGATGAGGAGAACCGGCCAACAGTGCCTGAATAATGCTGGGCTTTGACAAGCTAGGAAGAGGGTTTGGGCTTTATTTAGTAGTGGCAGTGGATAAAACTAAGGGTTTGGGGGGGGGAGGAAATGGAATAATAATAAAAAGGAGGGTTTGATAGAATTTACTGGAAATGGTGTAGGAAGACCTCTATTTTCTGGCCTGGCTCCCTGAGCTTTAGGAGGGCAGAATGTCTGTCTTGTATATCGCTATGTTCCTAGCATTCAACACAGTTCCTGGCACAGCATACGCACTTACAAAATATTTGTTGACTGATTAGGTAAAAGAATGGATGAATGAATAAATGAAGGAATGAAAGGCAAATAGTATCTGTGTGTTTTACGACTCCTCTATCCCTTGTAGTGGTTCTGGGCTTGCTGAACATTTGGAGAATGGTAAGTACAACTCAGTCAACATAGGTTTCTTTAAAAATCATGAGGACAAACCATACAGACCAGGTATAGGAAGACAGGCAGATCTTAAGTAACTATTTGAAATCCAATCAAGTCTACCATTGCTTGTACCACCAGTATCCCTAAGAACTGTTATCTGACTCATGGGAGGGGCATTAGGACCCGATAAGTTGTGGTTGCCTCATTTCTTGAAACTGGCAAGTAACAGTTTTAAATACTGTTGTGGTTTTATGTAGAATCAACAAAATACTATCTTCCTTAGGAGAAAGTATACCTGTCACAAAGACACCACTGCCCGGAACGGAGAACACCATGCCTTGGAAATGCCACAGCTTGGAGGACTATCGGAAACACGTGCTCTTCTGTGGGACAGAAGTTATCCAGGTCAAGCCTTCTGGGCAGGGACCCATAAGAGCAGTCGTTTTGCAGACAGGTTAGTGGATTCCACTCTTGTCACTGTAGTCTATACCTGGAGGTGAGCAGAATGAGAACAGGGAAGGTTTGTTTAGGATTTTGGAGTTTACCACATTCTAGTAATAACAGTCACACTCTTTTCTATCAAGATCCCCTATTCTAAATCGCCACTATTCTGACTTATTTTTTGTTAAACCCCTGTGTGTGATGAAAGATACACAGAGATAATGCATATTTCCTTCAAGGCCAAACTATATTCTTGGATTGACTAATGTCCATAGGTTTCTTCTCTTTTCCTTCCATTTTATGAGCTCTTGCCAAAAAAAAAAAAAATGTGTCAACCATAATGACTGTCAAGTCTTTTTTCCTTTAAAGGGGTTGCTTGTGAGGCTGTACATCAGACTCCCTGCTGGCTACCTCCACCTGCACACTCTACAGACTCTTCAAAATCAAGCATCAAAAAGTGAACTTATCCTCCTGCAATGCCTCTCTGTTAACAGCCTCTCCATCAAGCTAGTTTCTTAATGGCATCTTTAACTGCTTACTTTCCTTCATTCCAAAAGGGCACCAGTGATTCCACTATGGCCTCAGAGGGCTATCCCTCTTTTCTGAGTCCTGTACCTTCCTCTTCATTCCCATAGTCACTGTTTAGTGCAGGCTTTCACCACACCATGTTTACTTTATTATAAGAAAAATAGTCTGGACTCTTTACTTTCAACTTTTGCCCTAATCTTTCTCTGATCTTGAACTCAAATCACACTTCAAACACACATTCTAGAATAGCCCAGGCATATCACACCTAAAGTTTTGCATGCCTAGCCACATGAGCTTCAAACTTCCACATGCCATTCACAACCAATGCCTTTCACGACCTGGTCCCAACTCCTAGTCCTTAACCCTGATCTGTGTTTCTGTCACCTCACATATTCATGGACACCAAGCATGCCTTGCACTTTGATGCCAATATGCTTTAGTTTGATGTTTTATTCAATTGTTCTGGATGAATTAGTTTTTTTTTTTTTAGTTGAAACATGACTTTGTGTTTTTTACTAAAACTAGCTAGTGGGTTTCAGAGCATCCTCAGCCTTCTGTCTAAACAAAAACAAATAGTTAAAGACCATGGAAGCCACCATAAACCACTGTAAAATTCTTACAAAGCAAGTTAGAGAAAAGTCTACTCCTATTCTCCAAAGGTAATAAAGCCATGTTTAAGCAGACCAGGTATCCATATAGCAGTGGAGATAAGGCAAATTTTGTACTTAAAATACTGGTGTTCTTGTCTAGACTATATAATAGTTAATCATTTTAGCCACTAATTCAGATATTAATGGGTATTTGCCATGTGCTATGCACTGAGGGCTAAAGAAATAATTTGTGAGCTACACCTCTCCCGGAAGGAAGGTCATGATACTCTGTTGTAGGAGACAGATTAACTTATAGTTAACTAAAACATGCAGTGATGATGGGTGTCATATGACCAAGTGTTGCAGGGACCCCAAAGAGTGAGATATATTATTCTTGGTATGAAGTATGAGAATAGAATTCTAGAAACACTTCTATGATGAGGTGGCATTTTAACATAGCTGATAGGATGGGGAGGGTTTAGTCAACCACATCAGCACTATTAAAATAGTCTGATTTGTGTTTACAAAATACAAGAAAATATACAAGGCGTCTTCTAAAATCAGTAAATAGTTGGGATCAGTCCAGCAAGATAGGAGTAAATCAAATTGAAGGTGACCTCAAATCCATGCCTAGAAAATTTAATTTTATTCTAAGAAAGTGGTAATATTTGGAGCAAAAGAATGATATGATTAAAGGCAGATGCATGTATATATATATATATATGTATATATATATATATATATATATAT